TCAAAGAGAGTTCCTACTGTCATACAATTAGTAAGAAAATATAAAAAAAAACTAAATATTAACGGTTTATAGATCTTTTCCCCTAGAAGATTATAATCATATTCTTCTATTTGGATTATTTGATTAGATTACAATGTATATTGGAAAGTGTTTTCCCTATCCCACTCACAATAATCAAAAAAATTTATTCTATATTAATATGGTGAGATTTATTTCACTGGGGTAAAACCTTCTTTATCGATTTAGTTGTATGTTTGCTTGTTTTTTTTTTTAATTTTTGCATAGTGACTGTTGTTTACATTGGTTGATTTTTTTTTCTTTTGATATTCTAACTTTTTTCTTTTCTACAATTGAAATTATTCACACGTTTGTATAATTATCAAGACAATAACAAAACAGTTTCCATCATCACATATTTACCAAATTTTTTTTCATTATACTGTTGTTTTATCGTGAATGATTCTATGTGTATAGTGTACTATGCTTCAATGTCCCCTTCCGTTTAAACTTGAACTGATGTTGAAGTTATCCACAAACATAGTGAGATTTCAACAATTACAAAGAATATAATACCATTAATAACATTCTTCTAAGTTAGTACATTTCTTAATTCTTTCAACACAAGTAGTTAAGGTTATAAATTTATGTAAATATAGTAAGACAGTGGTTAGATAGTCATTATTCAAAGGATACATGCAATGGAAATCCCGACACTATCTAATCTAGAACATTATTGAAAACCTGAAAGTACTGGATAGCCGTCTCGTCCTAGTAATTTCAGGTTTTCAGTGGCTCGCAATTTCAACTACGAGAGTGAGATTATAGTTTATGGACGACCTTTGAGCGACGCTAAGGTAACCTTAAGAGTGTCTACCCACTTACTAGGGCTAAATGAGGGTTATAAAGCGGTTCGAAGAATAAGGATTATGATTTACAGTTGATGACTAGGATTAGGAATTAGATATCGGGTTTTCATCATGAACTAAATCAGCCAAATGGATGAATGAATTTTGCTCCGAAATCTAAGATGTTTTATCCTAAATCTGATTGGTTGGTCTATAAATTATAGTCTCGCCACTATGAGAGTACTACAATCTCCACAAATCCCCCGTACTAGACAATAAATAACTGGAATTGCTATCTGTTGACTGGAATAAATACTGTTCCATATTATTGTTCTACTGTCCGAGATGATTGGTTTGTCAATATTTACAACAGTTGTGTGTTATAAATATTTGATGTTGAACCACTTAACATTACTGATAGAATGTAGCTGTAAAGTAGTGGTTAGAGGTAGTCTACAAAACATTCTGCTTGTTTTTCGTTTCATGCTATTTGGCACTCATCAGCGAGTTTTAATTGTAATCTTGGAGGGACTGATCCTCTCTGACGGATTCGATCTCGTGTTACCGGACTTTTATTTTATCAATACCGACTTGCTTACTATTCAGTAATCGATCAGTTTTAATGGGATTTAGTCGGTTATAAATCGTTTGACCTTGAAACAGCACATAAATTCTCTGACTATCAAAAAGCCAAATAATATGTCTAGATCTGTCAAATCTATCAGGATCTCAATTGGAAACAGTTCAGTTTGTCCATGATCTTAAATACGCTTTTCTGACGAATGTGCTAATCAACACAAAGTCTGGCATTAGGTATTCTTAACCAATCATCTTTAATTCTTATGATTTATTTTACTGTAAACGACGAAAGAAAGAAATAATCAGACATGCGAATGTCTATAACTGTTACATCATAGATGATTAGATAATTAACATGTTGAGGTTTATTTATTATTTCCTCAATTCTATTTTTGTTATCTCTGTATAATGATGCAGTTAAAGCAACTGTGATCAATTTTCAGTCCGTCCTTAGCCAGTTTGTTTATAAAGTATATTTCTTCCTGTTTAAAGTATGTTTCAGAATTAAGAGTTATGATTGAGAGATAATGTCCATTCACCTATCAGATATAATCTACAGAGATAGAATTAAACATTGAATATGTTGAATACAATCATTATTACTCTATGGTGCTGGCAAACAGTAAATGTTAGTTAACATTTTAAAATAATTCCATCTTCTGTTATACACATGATTTGTTAGTTGAATAATTTCAATAGTTAGGATCATGAGTCAGTTGAAGCTAGACCACCATGGAAAACCTGGAAGCACTGAACGGCCATTTCGTCCTATTGTGGGACTCCTCAGCAGTGCGCACAGACGACCTCGCCCCCTGCGAGATAATAATTGTTGGTGTATTGAATATAGTTCCCTTACTCTATCTCTCAATAAATTATTTTAAGATTATATTTAGTAAGATTTTCTTTAATACATAGAGAGAGGGGGTTTTCATATTATGTAAAATCATTGTAAAACAACAATAAATACTCCGGATAGCGTTTTGTTCCAAGTACAGAAGCGGATAATCAACATCTGACTCGTTGTGAATCAAATTCAGCACTTTATTTCCTAAGCTTAATCTCTGATAAGGTCATGGATGAATACTGCTAAGCAGTGTCATACTGGGACTAAATTTCTTCTTAATCCCCCCCATGTTTTTGATAGTACACTGAACGAAATCAATCAAACCACTTTTGCAGTGTTTTTTAAAGATATTTTGTGAGAATCGGTCCAATTTTGGTGAAGTTTTGTTCTTTGAGCAGGATAAAGAACAAAGTTCTATCAAAATCATTCACTTGAGCTACAAATCATCTCCATCATCTCGAAATTAATTTTATATCTCGTCAAGTATCGTTCAAAGAGATAACATAAATGACTTGGGAGTTTCTTTTGTTCAACATTTAACAATCAACCCTGGGTATCCATGACTCTCTCTCTCTGTGTCTTTCAAGATCAAACTTGGGACTTAGTGATCGAATAACTTTAATTGATCATTAAGTTGACATTTAATTTCTGAATGATTATTTATTTCTATCATAAATGATGACATGGCTAAATTCAGTAAATGACACGATTTTATACTACAACTTTTGACATTTATCTGAAATCTGTTTACTTACTATTGAACATGTATTGTGTCAAACCATTCGTGATAAAAAAAAAGCCTTCAGAACTTTGATTTAGTGCATAGTATATGGTGTAGAGAAGAAAATCTTTCAATTTAGCAAACATTTTATATCATTCTCTGATCAAATTCATTCCAGTTACGGTGATCACTCCTGTTTCTATCACTGTATAATTCTCTTGTGTAATAGACATATCAAACCATTCAGTAGGCTTGTATAATGATTTACCGCTATTAATAATGACCATAATAATCTATGATCCTTTAATCAGAAATAAAAACTCGTCATTGGTCAAATTCAAACCTGTCGGAAGTTAAAACAATTGTCAATAATAAAATTAGATGATCTTTGTACTACATTCAAAATTGATTCAAGTTGAAATTGTATCATAGGATAAGTGACCCAGTAGTTTTTCCAATAAAGAAGTACATTAACCTTATAAAGGTTCTCTACTCGAACACAACTGGTAGAGTGAGAGCTTATGGCGAACTGTCATCAGAACTTATTATCTCAAGTGGTGTTCGTCAGGGCTGTCCACTCTCTCCATTCTTGTTTAACTTTGTCATTGACGTGCTTTTAGAGATAACTCTTTCCACATCTGACTTTCCAGGGCTTGAACTTCTACCGGGAAATTCACTTATTGACTTAGAGTATGCCGATGACATAGTTCTATTTAGTGAGGACGCTGACAAAATGCAGAGTCTGCTGACCACTCTAAGCAACAATGCAGGCATGTTCGGGATGCGATTCTCTCCCTCGAAATGCAAAATGTTGCTTCAGGATTGGGTTGCGTCGACACCCGAACTAGTGATAGGGAGTGAAGTAGTTGAGCGTGTCGACCGCTTCACTTATCTTGGAAGTCTCATCAGCCCTTGTGGCTTGGTGTGTGACGAAATCTCAGCACGGATACAAAAGGCTCGACTAGCTTTTGCCAACTTGCGTCATTTGTGGCGTAGGCGAGATATCCGTCTATCAACCAAAGGACGTGTTTACTGCCCAGCAGTTCGTTCCGTCCTACTCTATGGCAGTGAAACATGGCCAGTAAGAGTAGAGGATATTCGTAGGTTACTAGTATTTGACCATAGATGTCTTCGAAACATCGTTCGTATATCCTGGGACCACCAAGTAAGTAACTCAGTTGTTATGAAACGGGTACTAGGTAAGGATGGCAAATCAGTTGATGAAGTAATGAAACTTAATCAGTTGAGATGGCTGGGTCACGTGTTACGTATGCCAGACCACTGACTGCCACGACGTGCTATGTTTTCTGGTGTTGCAGTAGGTTGGAAGAAAGTTAGGGGCGGCCAGACCAAAACATGGCTCAAATCCATGAGGTCACTGACAAGTGGACTGAGCCATGTTTTTAGGTGTAGACTACCTGGTTGGGGACCGCGAGATGATAGCAACCGATAGTTAGAGACCTTGAATGACAAGGCTGAAAATCGTTTGCAATGGCGCAGGTGCATCCAGTCTCTGTGTTCTCTCAAATTCTAATCTTCTGAATTCTCCATGTCCTTTGTTTTCTTTGCAAATATATTCCACTGAACTATACTCCTTAAATAACATCATCAAACCTTAACGTTTCCTGTCAGTACTTATACTTTCACTACTCTGCCACTATGGGATTTGTATCGATAACTGAATCTCTGTGCTAATGTGGTATGGCAACTCGAACTGATGTACGTACGTACGAAGTTCCACGTTGTTGCTGACTGACTGACTGAGTTTTCCCAATAGTGAACTATTCACCTAGGGATTAGAATATCTTGCACTTGGACTCTGACATAATTGTAAGTATACACTTACTGAGTAGTTATCCATACTAGAACGAAACAACTGTTCATGGTTTTCTGATTTCCATTAACAACTTAACCAATATCAATCAATGACAAAGACCACCTGAAGACTTGCTTCTGTTATCTTATCATCATTTTCTTTCATTCTCATGTTATTGTGTTTGTTTGTTTTTAGGTATGTTTAACATTAACCGCTAAACGTATGGCTAGTAAAAATTGTTTAGTAAAAAATTTAGAAGCTGTTGAAACACTTGGTTCAACAAGTACCATTTGTTCAGATAAAACTGGTACATTAACACAAAATCGTATGACTATAGCACATATGTGGTTTGATAATAAAATATTTGATGCTGATACTACAGATGACCAATCAGGTAGGATAGTATTATAATTTTATGGCTATTTTGCTTGACTTTATTATGAAATCTATCATTTAGTTTGTATTATAAAAAGGTTAAACTTTGCCGTTGTTGGATTGTAATTGATCAGTTTGTATTGTGATTGCTTTCGTTACATGTTTTAGTAGTGAAATCTGTAGCTTATTATTGCAGTACAGCATGCGGATTTCGTCTACTTTAGGACTCTTCAGCTCAAAGAAAATGCAATATTGAGATAATATTCTTCAGATCGAGATGATCTCGCCGTACTATTTAAGGTGACAGGGAAGTTATCAACTCCCAGTTCTCCACATTGTGAAATATGATACCGACTGAAGTACCTGAATAGAGTACTGTGTTGAGAGATCATGAAAATTTGAGAGCATGACCACCATATTCAAACCGCAACTACTTGAGGCCGGTCACACACAGTTATTTTCAATAAGTTTTAGACGAGTTATATCAATGCTTTAAAAGTCTTAGTCCCGGAGACTAGAACTAGTGTGGTAAGCTGAAGTGTGTCGTTTTTGAACTCGTTGCTATGGTTGCTCGTTGTTTGGAGGAAATATGTTACTACCTCCACACTCAAGTACAGCCAGCAGCATAATTTCGCCCTAGAATGTTTGACTTTTTCCTTCCATCTTCCATTATTTATGAAAATTCAGGTTTTATGTACTTTTTTAAAAATGCTTAGTTGCCACTTACAATGAAGATTGTGAGAAATTTAATTCAAAACTCTATTCTTTTGATTTCGATCTAAAACTATTCGCCTGATTAATTTGCTGTGATATTTTGTCATTAATTTTTCTATCTGGTTGTCAGATCAATGAGATAATCACCACTATTTAGCCATTTGTTTCAGGCTTTGAAATGGTAGAACCCAGGACCTCCAGGCCTCTCTAATGGAGTTGAGCCATTAAAAATATTGGATTAAAACCATGGTGAAATAAAAATTCAGTGATTCCTGCCTAAACCGAGAATTAAAATGTGACGAATACATCCTACAATTAAAACGAACCCGGGACCTTCAATCGTGCATACGAACACTTTACCATTTGGGAAATCCTATTTCAAAACGAAATGGCCGTCCAGCGTTTTCAGGTTTTCAACGGTGATCTAGCTGAGATTAGTTCATGATTCACACAAATCCTTCTGTACTTATCAAATACTAACTAATTTTTATTTTTTACTGTCTATCATTCTTAATTATTATTGTAGTTGCCACCTATGATAAAAATTCACCAACTTGGATAGCATTAGCTCGTATTGGCATGTTATGCAATCGTGCTGAATTTAAAGTAGGCGAAGAAAATAAGCCAGTATTAAAACGTGAATGTAATGGAGATGCATCGGAATCAGCTTTGTTAAAATGTGTTGAATTATCATTTGGTGGTGTTACAGATTATCGTCGTAAAAATCCAAAAGTTGCTGAGATTCCATTCAATTCTACAAATAAATATCAGGTTGGTTTTTGGGGTTCATCTTCATCAAAACAACATCAAATTTAATTTTGTTAATTAACAATTTTATTGTATTTTCCCTACTGTATGACGGTAGAAATCAATGGATCTAGTTTTCTTGCTAGTTAGCATTCCATCAGTAAGGTGTACATAGAATCTTGAGAGAATTGACGCTTTCTGTTGGATCTGAACCCTCGTCATCCTAAAATCTTCAACGTTTAATATTTAAACTTAGTCAAATCACTTGTACTAGTGATCGATAGAGTTTGATTAACACTCAAAGATTAGATAAACATGACATCGGTCACTACTTGGTAATCAATCACATGTTGAAAACATTGTCATTTAAATCTAGCAACAGGTAAATCACCGTGCTATAGCTCACTTACAAGTTACTATAGATCATGTTTTTTGAGATGGGCTTGTTGTAGACCTCCGCTGCCTACAATATGGTAAAAATAAGAGAGAGAGACTGATGTATACTTTGCTGCTTTACTATTCACACTACTCTACGTACTATGTGTAACAGAACATTTCAACGTAAACATGGCTTGTAAATATCTGTTTATTTTGCGGATTCTAAATTATTATTATGGGAAGTTTGTGCAGACTTGAGTTTCATTGTTTGGACCATATACTGATCTTAGTTAAACAATCTTGTGAAGTGATTCTTAGTCTTCTCCTGTGAAACAGTGACCAGTGAAGTCCAGTCATGTTGAATGAAAGGCAATTAGTTACCCGCTAATGTTATTGAAAGATCATTATGAAATATAACGGGTTAATTTAAGTTGAACACATAAGCTGTTAGATCTCACTTTAATGATTTAATAATCAGTAAATAAATTCTGTGAGATCCGGTTGTTCTGGGTCTTTAATTCCTAGTCAGTTCTCGGCTATCATAATCTCTCAAAACCGAATAGCCATCCCCAATTCCAGCTAAGGACGTACAAATCACATTTGCTAGGTAGAAAAGCGAATTTATGAGTGTTTCTGGTGCATAAACGCGATTCAATTAGAGATAAACCTTTGAGAATCCGTACAGAAAGTGGATTAAATCTGATTCCTGGTTGTAGGCTTGTGGATTTGCACTGTTACAGGAGTCCCATATTAGAACGAAATAACCATCCAGTACTTTAATATCTATCTAATTTTAACTAATCTGTTATTTAAGTTATTCAAAATTAATTTCACTATCTTTTGATTATTTGCTCTATCTAGTTATCGATCCATGAAACCAATGATAGTGATGATCGTTACTTATTAGTTATGAAAGGTGCACCTGAACGTATACTTGATCGTTGTGGAACTATTTTAATTAATGGTAAAGAAGAAGTGATGGATGAATCAATGCGTGAAAATTTCAATAGTGCTTATTTAGAACTTGGTGGAATGGGTGAAAGAGTTCTAGGATTTTGTGATTATCGTCTACCATCGGATACATATAAGAAGTAAAATGTTAAATATTTATTGTGGATTTTTTCGAGATTGTAGAATTTTCATAGGATATAAATTATGAACAAATCTTATTCAGATCACTGTAGAAAATTGGAAAGCACTGGACAGCGTCCAAGATGCAGTATCGTGAACACGCGCTTCTGAAGATTCTCATAGCAAGACGAAACAGTCACCCAGTGCTTCCAGCTTTTCTTTAGTGATCTAACTAAGATTATTTGTTTGTTTTGATGATATCTTACACTTGAAAATATATCAATGCTGGTTTGTAAATAATTGGGGGATAAAGTTATACAGGAAATGTATATTTTACGGTGTTTTCGTTTCAGACGCTGAACGGTGAGTATGCTGTGAATCAATCCTCTCTGTATAACTATAAGGCTGTGAAATATCGTCCATGAAATTAAGTGATATGCGTAGACTACATGTTTTTGATCATACGTATATTTTGAGCATTGCCTTTGAGTGAGAATTGTTGAGATTGAACGTAAATCATTTAACCAAAGTATTTAGGATATATATTGCTTACGCACCACCTACATGAATAATTAATGTGTTGGCTGAAGTAATGGTCGACTGGAAGAAAGCTAAGGATTGCCAAACTAGAATAAATCATCAATCTTGGAAATCATCGATTGTTCACCTGAGCCGTTTAGATATACGCAAACTACTTGGTTGGCTGAATTATACTTAAACAGTGGGGACAACCAAATGTATTTTAATACAAAATTACAAAATGTCTTAGTAAAATCTGAGAACCATACAGTAAATGCTTCATTTGAAAAATGTCAATCAATTGTCTTATACTTGATTGTCCCTTCATTTCCATACTAACCACTCTCTGTTCTCATTCCCTTCTCTTCAATTATCTCAACCTTCTGCCGCCAGGCATTCCACTTTCGTTTCGTGATACATACTACTTATGTTTGTTGACATCAGTAACACACATCACACTATCACTATTTCAACCTCATTTCGAAAACTCAGAATTTTGGAACTCTAGATAACGGACATATATATATTAAGCTCTACATTGGTAATAACTAACTGACTGATTGATCGAAATCAATTTCCAAAACACAATTATCATCTTTGTTACGTTCAAAACAAGTTGTATTTTCTAGTTCTTGTAAGTAAAATAACTCTCTCCCATAAATTCCAATATACAGCAAAATGTTTCTCTACTATTTATCTTGTTTTGCTGAAGTTAATTTGGTTTGTAAAATACTTACTGAATGGTAAATTAGTTAATCATACCCAATATTCATATGGTTTTCAATAGACACTATTAGTTCTGTTAATTTTTGTCCTCACTACTATCTTATCGTTGTTTTATTTGCCTTTTCAGAGGTTATCCTTTCAATGTTGATGAACCGAATTTTCCTTTAACCAACTTACGTTTTGTCGGTTTAATGTCTATGATTGATCCACCTCGTGCAGCAGTACCAGATGCAGTTGCTAAATGTCGTTCAGCTGGGATTAAAGTAATCATGGTCACTGGTGATCATCCAATCACAGCGAAAGCTATTGCTAAAGGTGTGGGAATAATTTCGGAAAGTTCTAAAACTGTCGAAGATATTGCCGCTGAACGAGGGATTCCAGTTCGTCAGGTAATAGGCCACCCACTAGGATTTTTCACTAAACTCTGTCTTAGACTCCTCTTTCCAGTTGTTTCCAATTGCTATTCATTCTTTGAATGTCTTTCTATGAATTTCAATCCTTTCTGCATGAATTCTTTATTCGTTAACATCGTATGATTGCGAGTGAGAATTTGTTTTGTTCGTCTACTAGAGATTGATTTAAAATCATTCGGTAATGAATAGACAATTCGTTCTTATCAATTTGGACATTCTGAGCCTCTTACCTACCTACCTACCTACTTACGCCTGTTCCTCCTAATGGAGCATATGCCGCCGGCCAGCATTATGCATCCTGAACGTCACACAAAAGAATATATTCCACTGACTACAAAATCTATTCAACCACTGAGTAAAAATGGTATTTTAAACAGTAAATTATAAATTATCAATAATCCAATAATACATTACTCAAAAATCACCTCTTTATTACTAATACTATTAACCTGGCTTGAAATTTATTCCGTCTAGGCAATGGTTCTCTAGTAGATTTCTGTCTGAACTATTGAGTTGGTGAATTACACCGAGCCTCTATACGTACACAATTTAAATGAGACAGTTTTTGATAGAGATTATTTCAATCTGTAGAAGTTGTTTGTCACAGCTTGATTTCAGCTCGGTTACCATTGAAAACTAAGTGGTACTCTTGTACACACCGCATTACTCACCTATCACCTCTCCAAATTTGGTTAAATAACCGTTGCATAACCTGATAGTTCGATAATTCAATTACTGACAAATTTATTAAATATGCACTGCTGAAAACCAATTCCATACAAGAACATAACAATTCTCCATTGTTTCGCATAAATGTAAAATCAATCCATGATGAATATCTCATTGTTTATATAAATTAGTCACTAAGGTTGTTGTTTTTCTCTCTTTTTACAATTCGTTCAATATAAAAGTGAATTTATGTATTTATAGGTCAAGTTATTTCAGCTGAATGATTCTAATTTGTTTGTTTGTTTGTTTGTTTTTCACACTTCATTGTCTCTTGTTTTTTTTCTTCTTTTTCTAAGCCACGTTCATAATTACTTCTTGTGATGAATACTTTCTTTATTATTATTATTATTATTATTATTATTATTATTATTATTATTATTATTATTATTATTATTATTATTATTATTATTATTATTATTTATTATAGGTCAATCCACGTGATGCACAAGCATGTGTAATACATGGATCTGATTTACGTGAAATGACCCCAGCACAAATTGATGAAATTTTATTAAATCATTCAGAAATTGTATTTGCACGTACTAGTCCACAACAAAAATTAATTATAGTAGAAGGTTGTCAACGTCAAGGAGCAATTGTTGCTGTAACCGGTGATGGAGTAAATGATAGTCCAGCTTTAAAACAAGCTGATATTGGTATGTTAATATATATATATATATATATATATATATATATATATATATATATATATATATATATATATATATATATATATATATATATATATATATAATCTCTGTCAATGGTAATTAGGACTCACAGTTGGATTCATGAATCGATCTAAAACCTGAAAGTACTGGACGAACATTACGTCCTAGTATGTTGAATGTTTGAAATGTTTATCCAAGTGTTGGTATACTAGTTCCCTTTGGAGATTCTTAGTTAACTTATCTAATGTCAACGATGAAATAGGCTAGATCAACACTGATTGATCTGAATAAATCACTTTTAAAAAGTTCTGTAACAATTTTAGCATCCCTACGATTTAGAATTTCAATATCTTCTTAGTCGAACCCATTTCTGTAGTTGCTTACATTTCATTGATATCAATCAGTGATCTCTGAGATAAAATGTATTCCACATAAGACCTATCCTGATTTTCGAGATTAATTTTATGATGACTGATTGAGTTACCAGACAAATTTTTGTCCAGTTTTAATTGAGATCATGAATCGATCACTTTTAAACAACCATTTAAAACCTTAGAGCACTGGACAGTCGTTTCGTCCTGGTATGGAATGGCGATCGAATATTGATCGGTTCATGATCTCAATTATCACAATAGAAATTTGTTTAATTAATCATTTCATTCTTTCTCTCCTTATTATAATTTGTTAATTTTCATGTTTTCATTATACAAGGTGTTGCAATGGGTATAGCCGGTAGTGATGTGAGTAAACAAGCAGCGGATATGATTTTATTAGATGATAATTTTGCTTCAATTGTTACAGGAGTTGAAGAAGGTCGTATTATTTTTGATAATTTGAAAAAATCTATCGCTTATACATTAACATCGAATATACCAGAGATTACACCATTTCTAGTGTATATTTTAGCTGATATTCCATTACCATTGGGTACAATTACAATTCTATGTATTGATTTAGGTACTGATATGGTAAGTGTAATATGTTCCTTCGAAGATATCTATTCAATATTATTTCATTAATCTACATTTTGTTAGACCAATATATTTTGATTATATATATGAATATAATACTAATTATTGTTTACAGGTTAAAGTAACTAAAGCGTACTGCATTATGGATTGGATGTTTGTTTATTTCAATGAACAAGTATACATTCCTGTTTAGGTACTTTATCTGAAGAATAATTAAATGTTTACTTACTTTTATAAGATATTGTCTTTTATATCACTCAACTGATTGATGTAACCATCAAGATAAACTTGTTTTTTTTTAATATTCATGGAAAATATTGATGTCGTAGCAACTCTTTGTAATGGATTTAATAAACTAATAAATAGTATAACAGTATGTAATTGTTGTATAATATAAGAGAGTAATTTCTTCTTTCAGTAGACCTAGTAAGACTTGGAACCTGTTGTTGAGTGTTATCTTGAATTTGTTAAATTTGTCAGTATGTCGAAGGAAGACTGTATTGAACATTTGTAATGATATTTCTCCAGGTGTTCAATGCTTCGTTAGCTTCAGTTTCATTTTGGTCACGATTAGGTGATGATCTGGAGCTATGTCAGCTCCTCTCCTGGTTCTCACTTCTTCCATTGATCTTTTGAATTTTTTAGTGATGCAAATATGATCTATCTGGTTCTCCGTGGTGTGGTCCGGTGGTAACCATGTTGCTCTGTGCGTGATTTTGTGTGAGAATACCGTGCCCCCTATAACTAAATCGTTGAATGCATATAGGTTTACAAATCCCCCCCATTTTCGTTTCTCCCAGTCCATGTTATCCCCTGATATTTTCATACCCGGTGTTGTCCGTTCCGACTTTGACGTTTAGATTTCCAATCAGGATGGTGAGGTCCTATCTTGGGCATTTCTCTATGATTGATTGCAACCTTTCATAGAACTGATCCTTATTGTCATCGTTGCTATGTTTAGTGGATGCATAACTTTAGATAACATTCATCGTGATTCCCTCCTTCTTTGTTTTTGAAGAATGCTTTGATAATTCTGGATTCGTGAGATTCCTACCCTATAAGTGCATTTCGTGCTACTTTGGACAGCATCAGAACAACTCCCTGAGTGTGTAGAGCATTTTGCTCTTCGTAACCTATATCTGGCCTTTGCTGTCCAGCCTAGGTCCAATGGGTTTCATTAGTCTCTCACTTTAAATATATACCTCTTATTCGAAATAAACGAATTACTCTGTACTTAGTTACTCGAGTTCTCTTATATATATGTGGAGGTAGTAAGTGCTGATAAGTAGTTGAGGTGATATCTATTTATATGTTGTTGTGTATTCTTCAATCTAAGTTGGTTATAGGCTGTCTTCTCTTCTGCTCTTCAAAGTATCCTGCAATATGCTTTGCTTTTTAACCAATTGGAACTTCTCTTTCCAACTATCGACTGTAGCAACTTCCACGTGATGTTGCTCTACATACTACTTATAAACAATTTTGTGAATAGTATTCTATTCAAAGATAGTACAATTGAATGATAAAAACTTTTTTTTTTAGTTCATTCCTTACACCAACCTTATGTTTCACATTTTCATTCATTTTCATTATGCCATTTTATTCATATCCCATCTGTTTTCATGCTAAATCAATATTTTGATGTGAAAGTACCATTTCACTGTAAAAATGAATTTACTATAATAAAATGTATATGATCATTCATAATAATAGAAAGAATAATAGTTCCTTTGATTTATTGATTCTTTGATATCACAAAAACAAGTATATCATAATGATTGTGTATGTTCTGCTCGTACGCGCTCTCTCTCTCTCACACTCTATCTTCGAAATGTTGTTGAAGTTTGTGAACAGGAAATCTCCCATTGTGATTAGGACATTTATGTACATTATTATTATTATTATTATTATTATTATTATTATTATTATTATTATTATTATTATTATTATTATTATAGCAACATACATTTAAGTTTACTTATTATCGATAATCTGAATACTTGAAAACACATTAATTATTCTTTACATTAAATTTTTCATTCAACTTATTACGTAGATTTACATTCTATTTGTTATCTTTCTTTAAGATCTTAAAGTTTTAAATATCGACCGTCCTTCAATTGATACAGTTTTTTATTAGTTCTGTAAAGGTCAATTGAATCTTTCCATTGTTAAAGGCTGTAATTCACTAGTTTCTTGATATGTGGAATACCTCGTTAATCCTATTTATTATTAAGTGTTTTGAATCCAGGTCTAATAGTTGCTAACAATAGAATTTAAAATATACGTTTTGTCCTATTTAGGACTCATCAGAAAAATGTGCTTCTACCACAATATTAATGTTTACATTAAAACACGAATGTCATGTATTTCTAGATTTCTCCGTTAGTCATTATTAAATTTTACCTTTAAAAATATTTAATTTTTTCTTCTGATAGGAAAGATCTATCATCTTATTGTAGGACATGTATTCGAGCCCTTAAATGCTTTGGTACTTCCGAGAGCTATCTCCTTCTCGAAATGCATGCATACAACCACTGTCAGAGAAGTCCTACTCACTGTCTTCTCGCACCATTAGTGTTTTTTATGACATTAAGAGTACAGAAAGTGAATGTCCGGTGCTTTAATCGGGTTGGTAGATATAAAGAATCCACGTAGGAGACTTGGACAACCCTGATTCCAAACCAGTGATGTACTTAGGCTCTAAGATTCTAAAGAAACAATGGGCATATGAACTAATCGTTGATCACCGGCTACCATAAGACTGCATCTGCTAACGTTGCTTCACTATCTTGTGGATTAGATCTTCAGTTTAGAGGTTCAAAGTGTGACCTCTTAAGACAACCACCTGTTTTGGTTTGGTCACTTGGGTAGTATTCCATACCTTACATAAATGAAATAATTTATATATGGCTCATCTCTGTTTGGTGACTTCTTTACACTAATGTTTATTTATTTGAATAAATAAATCACTGAATAAGATGTGTATTTGAGTATACAATGATTGGTATGTTTGACATCAATTTCTATATGACCGATTTATAATCTTCTTATTATTCTAAATGTTTAATCATCATTCATTATTGTAAAATACCATGATAAAAAAACACATTCACTATAAATCATGATCATAATTTTGGGTATCGATATTCTTATTCACACACACTTTTCAGGTCATTAGTTCAACATTTATGATTAATTCATTGAAATAATCATCATTAAGACGTTTTATTTATTGATCAAGTATAATTGTTATAGATGTGATCATTTAATGATTGTTTACTGGTTTATTATTATTGATTCAAATTTTGTTTTGTTTTTCGACTGTTTCTTGTTTATTTTCTAGACAAATGAACTAGATTGAAATGTATTTCTTTATTTACTTCATTTATAAGACACTTTTCATTGACATTATTTCAATAGTTGAGATTATAAGTCAATTGAAGCTAGGTCACCATGGGAAACTTGAAAGCATTGGACAGATGTTTCGTCCTATTGTGGGACTCAATAGTCTAGTTGGTTAAGCGCCTGGCGCGAGACTGATAGGTTCTGGGTTTGAATCCTGCAAGGAGGAATCGTGAATGCTCACTCTTACGGAGAAGTCTCACAATAGAACGTAACGGCCGTTCATTGCTTCCAGGTTTTCCATGGTGGCCTAACTACAGTGGACTTATGATCCCAACTATTGAAATTGCTACAATCTCCACAATACACCTGATACTAATTGACATTATTCATGTAATCTATATAGTTGAGAATGGATAAGCAATAATGAATAGATTAAAGCATTACATGTGTTTAATGTGTTCAATTTTAGACTCAATCATACACTCAAAACTCTCATTTACCATGTGTTTCATTATGAATAATGAAATTTTATTGTATTATAAATATGTAAGAGTATAAGTTCAACTTAGGGTTCCACTTATAAATTACCAAATACACTGATGGTTTAATAAATCTTTTATCGTCTTTGACTACAATATATATTGGTGTAGGGGTAGTTTGGAAGTAAACGACTAATTTAATACAAAGTTATTAACTGTTGGATCAAGTCTTATGGATAGGTGTAAACTATCTGGTTAGGTGTCCGCATAATTATCATAATTAATGATTGTAGATATTAAGTAAAACGACTTAGAATCAGTCGTCATGGTGTAAATGTTTTCACCATTTGTCTTACTTTGAGTTTAAAAAATAATCTCGGTGAGACTATAATTTTCGGACGACCTTTGAGTGACGATGAAGAGACCTTAAAAATGTCCACCCACATACTACGGCTAAATGAAGATTATAAACCTGTGTGAGGAGTTGATAGTTACGGTTAAGAATCAGATATAGTGTTTCCATAACGAACTGACATCAGTTATAATGCCAAAACTCTATTTCGACAATTGGATGAATGAATTTTGCGCCAAAATCCGAGACGTGTTATCTTAAATTTGATTGGTTCATTCATAAATTGTAGTCTCGTCATAATCGCAAACTTTTTTATTCCACAAATGAATTGTTTCTTGAAACTTTTAGCCTATTTCCAAATCATTTATCCTGATAATTTTCATTTCGCTATGTTGATATGTTGTGATAACTTGAACTGATTCACATAAATGTGTTCTAGGCTCTACATTGTTCATAACTGATTAATTGATAAATAAATGGTATATTTTATCTATTGTATGTTCAACACTTATCAGTGTTTTGTTTCATTTATTGTTTCATAGATTCCAGCAATTTCACTGGCTTATGAAGAAGCTGAGGCAGATATTATGAAACGTATGCCACGTGATCCATTACATGATAAATTAGTGAATGAACGTTTAATTTCAATGGCTTATGGTCAAATTGGAATGATACAAGCATCAGGTGGTTTCTTTGTTTATTTTGTTATTATGGCTGAAAATGGTTTTTGGCCATCACGTCTACTTGGTATACGACGTGAATGGGATTCCAAAGCGATTAATGATTTAGCAGATTCTTATGGACAAGAATGGGTAAATGGTTGAGTTTTTCTCTTTTTCTTTAAAAAAAAAAGGCTTAATTAAACTACAAAGAAAATCTAGGCAATTATATTTTGATATTGCGTTCTGATCGTATTGTTTGCAATTTTTCCTATTATTTATATTAACTTCACATATAAGGTTAAACTCTAGCCACATGGATTCTTTGACATTTTTCGTAGAGATTGACAAATACGGTCCATATCATAATGTTTATTGACTGCGGAATCCCCAGAATTATCTCTCAAAGCTAGTAACTCGTGACCACATGACGATAATCAGCATTGGGTTGTGAATCAGTTACTTAGTGAACACAACAAGGATATGGTCGCATGGTTTCTTGAATTGGTTGGAGTTAGACTTTAACACCGTTGGATGCCGACTCAATGGTCTAGAAGTCCTGGGTTCAATCCTTGTTGGCAGGGACGTAGATCACCACTGCTTTCGAGTTTTCAGTGGGGTTTTAACATAGATCGGTTCATGATTTCAATAGAACTCAACAATCTCCATAACCCTATACTGAAGCTATCATGTTGTTTGTTAAGTTGACTCTTAGCTTTTAACATTCATTCTGTTTATTATAACTAATTACTTTTAAGACTACAACCTGAATTATTTAACATTCGTGAAATCATGTTAATTCTTATTAATTTTATCAAATGATGCTTGAATAACTGCAGTAGTAATGTTTCACTTTGATTCATTACATGAGGTGTAGCAACTTAAACCGATACTTATATGTGCCTGGTTCTACGTTGTAAATAACTGACTGACTGACTGACTTCACTTAAATTTTGAAGCTTTCATAATGCCAGTTTAAATCTTATAAGGAAAATCAACTCCCTCAATATTGAATAAAGCTGAAACCAACAAATAAGACTTGTTTGTAATAGATACGTAAAGAGAAGTAATTCTATAATTTGTTCTTTTGTTTGTAAAGAATTGCCTCCTTATATGACATTTTCAAGTTACATAATCGTTCAGTGATAATAATGCATTGTAGAATAATAAACAACCGATGTAACAAGATTAACATTTCGTGAATAATACATAAATGATAGTTACTTTTTCTATGTAAAATGTCTTTTATGAAACAATCTATATGATATGTCACAATAATTGAGATTGAATACATCAAACCATGGAGATTGTATGCCCTCCTCACCCTTTTTCAATATTATGTGATTTTCTTTGAAATTACCTTTGTTCACTTCATGAATCAATGAATCAAAATGAATCCATGCTCTTGCACAACTCTTCATTTAGTTTTTGATGCTTGGATTCCATTGGTCATGGCTTCTTATCTTGAATATCTGGTCACTAATGAGCATATAATTATTAACAATATGGGTATTTATGGAGTTTATAATATTTTCATAGTTGAATTTACAAGTTGAACTAAACTATTTATTTATTTATTTAAACACATAAATATTGGCACAAGAAGGCACCAAATATATATGCGCTACATAAATCATCCGATTTGTGTGAGGATTTGGATACTGCCCAGTTGTCCAAACCGAAGCAGGTGGTTTTTTTGCTTAGAAGGCCACAAACGGAGCTAAATTAAATCATCATTGAATACCTGGAAGTACTGGATGATCGTTTTATCGTAGATGCACACTGCTTTGGTATACCCCCCCCATTGTACGAAGAAACGAGTTAGTGCTAGTGCTTTCACATATTCATTAAGGGTCTAGCTTAGATCATCTATGAAATTATTACAATCTCCACAAATCTCTATTTTTTTTATAAAATTAATTTGTTTTTAATTTTTCTTTATTATTTATTCTTTTTTTAATAGACATATAATCAACGTAAACGATTAGAATATACATGTCATACAGCATTTTTTGCATCCATTGTTATAGTACAGTGGACTGATTTAATGATTTGTAAAACACGTCGTAATTCTATATTTCAACAAGGAATGTGGAATCATCATTTAACATTTGGTTTATTCTTTGAAACAACATTAGCTATTTTCTTATCCTATTGTCCTGGTTTAGATAAAGGTCTACGTATGATGCCAATGAGGTATGTTAAATTAAAGCTTCTATTCTTAATATACTTCTTTTTTCTTTTCTATATGGAGTTATAATGTAGGGAATAGTGGTAGTAGTAGTAGTAGTAGTCTTGGGATCTAGAAAGCGACCAAGAAGTAAGTATCAATTTATTATAACTTGTGGTCTGAGTGCCCTGTTAATGGGTAATGCAATGATACCGCCAATCAGAGAGCAGTGAATTATCAATCGGACCAATGACGCATAAAACCCGTACGAGCTGCCTAGAGTCCTGACTGATCTTGCTTTCCACCTAGCCCAGCCAGTTAAGTCCAGAACACCAATCTCAGCCTCTGCAATATGAATCATTTATTTCAGCCATACTAGGTTTATATACACTGGTCAAACAGACCGCATCGTACAAATAAAATAGGAAACAATATTTGTACAAGAATTAGCCAAAAATAGCTGTGAATGTAGGAGATGATGATTGATAGACTGGACATAACTCATGAATGGTAAATGGTATAGTGATAGTCCATAGGTTAAAGCAAAGCTCATAATAAGAGGAACATGAATATGTGGATAGTTTAACTGCTTAACAATTATACAATACAAAATATACGCATAGTATTGGTCCATAAATGGATCCCAAAAGTTACCATTCATTATGTTTATCGGGACATAACACAAGTATTCCATTAGTAGTCATATCAATAACCTGAGTTCTGACTTATTAAATATGTACATTTAGAGAATATTAATAAAAATAAAATCTTACTAATTCAGCGGCTAAACAATTCGGGTTCTTCAAACCACCAATAGTGTTCAGTCAGTTATTATTGCCGATCTTATGGTTTCTTAGATTTAAATGATGAACTGATCTTAGCTAGCCCATCATTGGAAACATGGAAGAGTTGGACGGCGATTTCGTCCTATTATGAGATTTCTGTTCATTGTGCATTCACAACCCTGCATCCTGGGATCGAACCCAGTACCTTCATTTTCATGCCTTGATCATTGGTGTCCAATCATGTCTGGTGTGAAACAGCAGACGGTGATTAAGGTTACACAAAATCAAGGATTGACTGAAGTTAGATATTAATTCCGCTGGATACTGGCCTAGTAATCTATATGTTAAGCATTCATGCTCGAGGACGAAGCTCGTGAGTTGGATTCTCGCTCACGGGATCGTGAATGCACACTGAACAGAAATCTCATAAAAGGATCAGACGGCCGTCCTACACTTTCACATTTACAATGATGGTCTAGCTAAGATCAGTTCGTGATTTAAACTTTGAGAATTCTATAATCTACACAAATTCCTCATACTTATATTATCATCATCAATATCATTAACATTCAACTGTCTATACAAACCAAGCGTTAATTATTGAGTTTATTATTTTCATTGTTATTATCAATGATTTTACTGAACTTCATTCAAATATAAGGATTTAGGACAACATCAACAACAACGTCACAAACAACAGTCTAACTGGTCCAAATTCAGTACATTTACATTCATTAGTGTGATAAACACTGATAAGTCTTTTACTCATTGTTCACTTTGTCAAGTTATATTAGTGTAATGATGGATAAATATACCAACGGTTCTTTAATCTCTATCATTGACAGTATAGCAAATATATATGCCAGCCTAAAGATCAGTTTTTATTTCCGTCATATTTGAGGGTGTTTACTGTGGTCACTTCTTTAAATAATCATCTCATTAGGTAAGTTTGTGTACAGACTGAATATTATACATTTATTATTTGATGTTTGGTGAATTGTTGATCTCTTTATATATGTTGATAATCTTTTTCTCTTAAACAAAATTTTCTCTTCCAGATTTACATGGTGGCTTCCAGGTCTACCATTCAGTTTTCTGATATTTGTCTATGATGAAGTGAGGAAATTCCTACTTCGACGGTTACCACCTGGGTCATGGCTTGAAAAAGAAACATATTATTAGTTGTAGTTATAGTAAATCCCCTCCCCCTCTATAATATATGAGTAAATATAAATATATATATATATATGCATTCTTGTCATCTCTGTGTGTGTGTACTGCACATTTGTAGTTTCAATGAATTGATTCTCTACTTCTCTCTATTTCACTGTTTTCACACATACACACATGCACTCACATGATATCCTCTTGGAAATATTAGTATCTTCTATATTAAAACTATCGAATCCTGATATAAATTACTTAAAACATTACGGAGTTTTGTGTTTTAAATCACCGATACAGATGTATGTGTGTGTTTGTGTTTATGCACTTGCTTGTGTATTATTATCTGTGCTGTTTTCTAGTGAGTCACTTGGTAGTGATGATGATGATGATGATTGCCCACATTCTATTTCCTATTTTTAGCCATTTCATATTGTTCTCTTCTCTTTATTTGAATGAACAAAGAAGAAGAATTTTCATTGATTATATTACTTTGTTTCTAAGTTACTTTCTGAAATGAATCAATCAAATTTTCAATGAGAAAACCATCATCTTCATTGTATTCTTGTTGTTCTTCTTATCATTACCATTTGGTTGATCCTCATTGTCGAAATCGTCGATATTGTTAGTTTTGAAATGTAGAATTTAAACATAACATATATTACATAATTAGTAATATAATTATTAGAGTGAAATGCGCCTTATCTTACAGTGATTTCATTTATTCATTGTTTATTTTTTGTTTTGTTTTTGAAGGGAATTCTTTATAGTATTGTTGTATTTTGACTGTCATTACTGCTATTTAAACCACTACTTACTACTAGTTAATTCATGATAATCAGTAGTGTAATAGGTGTGTATTATGATGTAGTATTCTAGTAGTAATGACAATTATCATTTAGATACATTTATTATTCTTGTGTTATTTTGTCTGTTTACTAGTTTTTCATTGAAATTTATCTGAAGAAAAAAAATGAAATGAATAATTGTTCTTGCCTAATTGTCGCCATACACACACCTATGTCACTTGCCCTCCCTCTCTCTGTCTCTCTCATACACCCACACTCTGTTTCATTCTCTTTTTCTTTCGATGTTGTTCAATGGAATCCCCCTCCTCTGTTGTTTGTTTTTTTCTTGTATCGATCAAGTTGATTTTGTACATTTCATATTGATTTGTTTGTTTTTCAGTTGTTTCTATGAACAATAATTATAATTCTATAGAAAATTGTGTACGTTTTTTGAAAGCATATGGATTAGATTGAAAAAAAATAGGGGGAAGTAAATTCTTATAAATGATTATCATCATTATTATTTGTCATTGTTAATTGAACATTTATGAAAGATTGTGATACATTTTTCTTTTCTTTATTTTTCTCTTCTTTCTATTCTATTCTATTTCATTCATCTTTTTCAATTTGTTTGCCGGTTTTTTTCTCTTTTTCTTGGCATAAGTTCCTGTCTTTTCCTACTTGTTGTTCTTGTAGGTGTGTGTGTGTGTGTGCACGCGCTCATGTTTAGATTTGTGGTAATATGATGCTCATAGACCGTGGTTTGTTCTTGTTTTAATATGGATAATAGACTCCACGTCCTCTCTCACACACACACACACACTTATGTTTATTGTGTATTCAGTTCATCATTCATACAATCAATCTATTATTAATTATTATCATTATGAATAGAGTATATGATGATTATTATAATAAAAATAGTGATCTATATGATCTTTTATAGTATTAAACAGGATCATATTATATTTGATTATTGTCATAATACATTACACTCTAATAGAAGTCATCAATCAATCAATCATACATTCATTTAATAGTAGATAATTCTATTATCTTGTTATTAAAGAATGTTTTTGTTATTTTGTCTTGTTCCCCTTTTTCTCCCTCTTTCTCTCTCTGTCTGTCTCTATTTCTGCTTCTCTTTTCCAATGATTACGCAATATAGACTATCGAATTTTGATCTGATCAACAATATTCTAATTTCCATATTGATCATTTTTATTATTGCAATATAATTTATATAGTTAGTAGTCATGGTAATTCAATTGTAATTGTAATTCATCACATTTTATTTAGTCTATTTTGTTTTTAATATTCTTATGTTGAAACAAAAATGATAGAGTAAAATAGATCAATTCTTTTCTGTTTAAGATTCCCCCTCCCCAAATAAAACTAGATCTTTATCGTGTTTCTATGGGTGTGGGTGTATGTGTGATTTAGATATTTTATCTTTTCTTCCTTATTTCCAACATACATACAACGGATAAGAGCGAATGTGTGGAATCTTTTCTTTTTTTTTCATTTCCGTGATAATCTTCAATATTATATATATAAATATATGTAGTGTTAGTTAAGTAACTCAGACAAATAAAAATTGTTTCCCGCCTTTTTTTTTGTTTTAAAGAATTAAATCAATAGTTTCAAATAATATTCTGATTGATTGATCGATTGATTAATTGTTTTTCTTTGCCTATTTCCAATTGTTGTTTTTGTTGTTAATATATATTGTTTAGTTTGTTCCTTGTTTCATCTATTCCCCACCCCCTATATTCAGTTCATCTAATTTGAAATTACGTAATTTTTTTTATTAAAGTACTAATAATAATTGTTAGCCATAATAGTAATATATATGTGTATGTATGTATGTGTGTGTGTGTGTGCGTAACAGAGGCTCACATAGACACACACGAGACGAGAAATTACTGATCGTCTTCTTTGCACCCGTAATCACATCTATCAGTTTTTGTTCTCTCTTTCTTTTTTTTTATAAAAGAAAGGCAATCCATCATTCTGTCACTCACTCACCTACTCACTAACTCTGTTCTCATTTTTCATTACACATTATATTTGTTTCTTCTTGATTTATCCAATTGAGTTTATTTGTAGGAGTCTCAATAAATTGAATTTACAATAATTGACTTCCCTTTATTATTATAATCATGAATATTGATTGTATTGTATATTAGTAATAATGGTATTGATAAAGTTTTGTTCTCTGAGCTGGATGGTTTGATCGTGGAGCTTTCATCGTTCTTCTGAACGACATCATCAGTACAAACTTCAGATAGAAGTGTGAAGTGTTCGAATTTCTCCATATGCGTTTCACAGTTTGTTCTGTACATCTCGATGTTGATTAGTTTACCTTTTTGTAAACAATGACAATTTTAAGGTTAATAAGAACCAATCAACATCGAGGTGTACAGAACAAACTGTGAAACGCATATGGAGAAATTCGAACACTTCACTTCTATCTGAAGTTTATACTGATGATGTCGTTCAGAAGAACGATGAAAGCTACACGACTAAACCATTCAGCTCAGAGAACAAAACTCCATCAAAATCATCCACCTGAGCTACAAATCTTCTCCACCATCTCAAGTGGTAATGGTAGTTTTGAGATGATTAAAAATAACCATAGTGATGGATAGTTATGGTTGAAGAACTCTGAGCTAATACAGAATACCTAGGTGAGAAGAATATTAGATCTACTTTGAATGAAATGGTTAAGATAAGTGGCAATGTCGACATCAGTCCATGTTGTCATTAATCGATAGACTAAGCCATATTACTACGTGCAGATTATCTGGTTGAAATCCACGCGATTATTGTGACCAATAGTTGGAGAATTGAAGCGACAACAAATGTCATAAACGTTTACAATGATCTAGATGGATTCATTCTTAGTGTTCTCTTCAATCTTAAAATTTCAAAATCATCATATACTTTTTGTTTTGTGAATTTGCTCTTCTCGAATCATATTCCCTTAACCTATTCTACTACTAGTACTGTTATCATACTACTCCGACATTTCGTTATGCTGATGCGATCTGAGAACTTGAAGCGAATGACAGGTTGTAGTATTCTAGTCCTCACAAAAATCGAATGAAATGTGACGCATATATATTTAGTGCCTCGCTGTGCCAATGTTTAAATAAATAAATGAAACTGCAAATTACTGACTCACTTTTGAGATAGTTGTGCGATACCATATTCCAGCTGCCACTAGTGTTAATCATTTTCCAAAAATCTACAACTTGACAAGTACTTGTATTAGTGTACGTTGTTGGATCACATTGAGATTAAATCAACAAGACGATACACAAAGAAATCGAAGTTATGATAGCGTCCAGAATCATCATAGCAAGCTAATACATATGTATCTCCTACTATTCCATATTTGTGTTCTATTTCGTTTGATTGTTATAACATCAGAAAGAAAGATATGCTTCATGGTTTTAGTTTAGATGTATAGGAACGTTATAAACTACATGTTGGGCAGCTCGTCCTTAGAGCTTCGTGTTAAAGTAAACAACCATCTTTAATTTCTAGAATATCGTATCAGTGATGGGTACTTTGTATTTGGAATCAACATACTGAACTTGGACTTGGTCATTCACTAATAAAATGTAACGTTATCCACTCTTTGCGTATCTCGAGATTCGGTAGAAACTTTTTCCTGTCGTGATGTAGGCATAATGTTATTATTCAAAACAGAACAATTATTCCTCGAATCGGTTAACTGGAGTGGTGATGACTCAAATATGTATAGGTACACCCTATTGTTCCAATTCACATAGAATAAACTATGAGTTCTTCAGGAAACTTCGTCTTTCAGATTTAGCGGTAGCAGACAGTTTTAATTCCAAAGTGATTAGATTAAGTAAATAAATACTAGAATTGATCTTTCGGTGTTCCATTCTAGGAAAGTAATAATGATGACCATTTACTACAGTTATGTTTGTGGTGGTCGGTGTTCGATATATTCCTTAAACTCCGTATACAGTTCGTCTCGGTAACCGTCACCAAATAATGCTCCAACGGTATATTAATCAGAAGGCGAATACGAAGCGTTAATTACGTTTATTAAGGGACCACACACAGATATCCAAAATTACAGATGCGTTAAGCAAGCATGAAATAGTTGTGCCGAAAGGCAAACAGGCAAGCGAGCGAGAGAGAGCAAGGGCAAGAGCGAGTGAATGAAAGAGCGAGCGAGTGAATGAAAGAGCGAGCGAGTGAATGAAAGAGCGAGCGAGTGAATGAAAGAGCGAGCGAGTGAATGAACAAGCGAGCGAGTGAATGAAAGAGCGAGCGAGTGAATGAACAAGCGAGCGAGTGAATGAAAGAGCGAGCGAGTGAATGAACGAGAGAGCGATCGAGCGAGTGAATGAACGAGAGAGCGATCGAGCGAGTGAATGAACGAGAGAGCGATCGAGCGAGTGAATGAACGAGCGAGCGAGTAGTGAATATGAATAACATGGACATATATATACATAGTGAAATGAATGAATCATCGAGTCAATTAAGCGGTTAATAGTAAAGCTAGTAGCGTGAATAAATGCGTAGGCAGTAAGTTTTCCGAGCATACATATTCATACAAGGATAACAATAATAAAGGTACATACATTCGCAACAGTAATAAGGATACAATAAGTTATTATAGTGCAGGTGACTTTGTCCGTTTAATAAGTTAATAAAAGGGCTTAACCGAATTAGGTGAGAGCAAACTCAATTGAATGTGAGTTGCTATATGTTCTTACAATTTTCGATTTTGGACATTGTTGAATAGGCTGAACTCAACGGTGACTAGACAATGAACATAAACAGATCATATTAGTCATCGTTGAAGTATTTCACTAGATAACATTATTCTACTTCTAAAGCACCTGTAATTTATTCACAAATTTTCAGCATTATTATTACAGTAGGTTGATGGAAATTCTTCAATTCATCTATAGTTTACACTAGAGAAATGACTATTTAAACCATTACTGAAAACTTTTAAAGCTGTTGGCAGTCTTGAGTCACTTTTCAAAAGTGATGAAATATCAAATCAATAGTCTAAATTTAGAAATTAGTATGAGGGATGTTGCATATTTCAGTTTAAATGACTGAATGATCTTAGAAAATCATTGGAAATCAGGAACAGCTGTTTCGTTCTAGTATGTTACTGCTATGTAATATTCAATAACAATTGTATGTGGGCTCGAACACGCAAGTGTTTCTTATAAGGTTATCTGCAAAACGCCAAATGTCATGGGTGTGCACTTTTGAGGAGTCCTATACTATGGAAAGTTATCTAATACTGCCTGGAATTCACATATCTGAAATCAAACAATTACTTACGCCTGTTACTCCTCGTGAAGGAGCATAGGCCGCTTACCAGCATTCTCCATCCAACCCTGTCCTGGGCAATCGTTTCCAGTTCTTATTCATCCCTTTCGTATCCGTTTCTATTTCCCGACGTAATGTGTTCCTTGACTTTCCTCTTTTCCGCATTCCTTCAGGATTCCAAGTTAACGCTTGCCTCGTAATGCAGTTTGATGATTTCCTCAATGCATGTCCTATCCAGTTCCATCGTCTTTTCCTAATTTCCTCTTCAGCTGGAAGCTGGTTGGTTCTCTCCCACAAAAGGCTGTTGCTGATGGTATACGGCCAATGGATAATGATTATCTTGCGTGGACAGGTATTGATAAATGCTTGTACCTTCTTGATGGTGGTTGTTGTAGTTCTCCACGTTTCAGCTGTGTAGTAGAACTGCCTTGACGTTCGTATTGAAGATTCTGATTTTGATATTGGTTGAAAGATGTTTTGAGTTCTATATGTTTTTTAAATGAACGAATGCTGTGCTTGCTTTGACAATCCTCACTTTCACGTCTGCATCTGAACGTCCTTGTTCATCGATGATTCTTCCCAGGTATGTGAAGGATTCTACATCTTCCAGAGTTTCGCCATCAAGAGTGATTGGACTGCTGTTCTCCGTGTTGTGTTTGAGGACCTTGGTTTTCCCTTTGTGTATTTTGAGGCCTACTGATGCTATGCTGGCTGTCTTTATCTGCATTTATTCGTGTGTATGCGATAGAAGGGTTAGGTCTTCTGCGAAGTCCAAATCTTCTAATTGGTTCTGAGCTGTCCATTGTATGCCGTGTTTTCCCTCAGATGTCGAAGTTTTCATAATCCAGTCGACCACCAGAAGAAGGAGGAAGGGAGAGAGTAGATAGCCTTGTCAATCAATACTTTAAACAAGTTCAAAGAGATTTCAAACAATAAGCAAACAGTCAAAATAGTCGATTAAAGGCATAAGTAAATTGAGATATTGATATCATTTTAACCAAAACGGTATTTTATTGTCAATGAAAAACTTTCTCATATCAATATCATTCATATTGAATGCTACTTTATTCCTTATTTCCTTCATTCTGTTCACAACTCTCATTCAACTATATAGCAATCTGCTTAACTTCAAGCTATTTTATTCCCTATAGGTTTTTTTCTTTACAAACGTTTTATTTCACTCACCCCCTCCCCCCTCTTCTATTAAATTGTATTTTATTACCACATAACGTGTTTGTCAATGTGTTTTTACCCTTTAAATGTTTCCTTTTTATTAATTTTTCTTATTTCGTTTATAGAATTTCCTATTTCTCTTAATAAAACTATTGAAATAAGTAGTATATATCATTGCTTATTATTTGAAAATGAGCGGAACTTTAAAAAAAAAAATAAAAGAAAAAAAAACACGAATTATTTTAAAAGTTGAATTTACAAGTTCATTTAAGGTAGGTCACCATTGAAAAACTGGAAACAATAAATAACCATTTCGTCTTAATTTGAGACTTGTTAGTAGTGCCCATCCATGATTTAGTACGTGAGACTCTAACCCAGAATCTTGGATCTCGTATATGAATGATCTACTTCTAGATCACTGAGCTAGTATCCAATACTGTTAATGTTCAACTACTGAGTAGTTTCATATTAGGTCGAAATGACTGTCCGTTGTTTCCAGGTTTTTAATGATGATTTAGCTTAAATCGACTCATAATTTTAATCAGAAACGTAATAGTATCCACAACCCCCTACTGATAAAAAATATCGCTATTGTATGAATCAGATTGACAATGCTTAAAGTG